AGGGAGGGGGGATGGACAACGGGGGATTTATTTACTTCGGACAGTGAGCCCCTCGCTGGAAATGCTACCGAGGTTTCCCAATGGATCGGGGTATGCAAGGGGGATGGTATTTGGAGCTTTTGTGGAGGAAAAGTCCTGACACGGTGATTCTAGCTTCAGGTGATGAAACTGCGTTTGTGGCGGGGGGGGGNNGGGTTGGATCGAACCGACGAAGGCTCTTTCGGTTTGAGGAGACGTTAAAGCACTTCGCGTTTACGTAACTTCTTTAATCGTCGATAAATTCCGCCTGAACTAGAGATAGTTCGCATATTATGGATAAGAATGGTCACTTCTCGCTATATTTGCACTACCAGTAATTTAGAGTTTGCGAAATAAATGAATATGATATAATGAACGTATAACTGAAAAATTAAATCGTTCTCTATAAGCTTTTGGTTCGAATTGTCGCTCAAAATAACATATTAAATAACAGTGCCAAAGCTCTTTTCAGAAAATGCATATAGAATCGCTTTGTCCTTCTCTGAAATACTCTACGAATCACAGAGTCGATGAAACAGTTGGTCGAAGCTAGGAAGGAGGAAAGCTTTTGGAGGCACAGGATTCTAGGGCACCGAGGTTAAATTTATCGTTCTTACCGGGTCTCAGTTGACCTTCTATGTCAGCCGTGCTACCCTTCTTGACCTTCTCGATGACGGCGCCCATAGAGCCATCCTCCAACAATTTGCCGCCGACCACTTTCAGCCCCAGTATGCTACTACTGCTTGCGGAGCCGCTTCCGGGCTGCTTTCGCAACACCATGTGGCCAATGATCTTCTGACCGTCTCTGCTCACTTGCCAGGATAACGGATGCTACGAAGCGCGGAGAACGGTTTTTCTTTGGTTTTTTCTTTGCTTTTCATTGTCAGACTTCTGTCGCGGATTCGCGTGAGATGAGAAGAGGGTGGGTGGAAGGAACGCGTGTCTTCTCGCGCCGAAGATCTTGGAAACCAAATGCGATGCGAAACGGAATCTCCGGAGGATTCGTGTCTGGTAATATCGTGCATTGGTTTCCAAATTCCTGGCGTGACTCGACTGATCGCTATGAAAGTAATTCGTGAAACGGACTGTGACGTTGATGGATTCAAGCTGACCTTCCTGGAAGAATATCCTGCGCCTGCCGGATTGTATAGCGTTAATCAAGCCACCAAAGGAACTCGGTATCGATCGCGTCATCAGTCGCAGGATATTTCTGTCGCAGGGCATTCTGATGAAAGAGAAGCTGAAGAGAATGATGGTAGCCCTCGTGGGCGATGCGATGCGCGCGACACAGAGGATACTCGAATATTGTTATCGATTCAATTGTAATATGCATGGGTGTGTTACACAATTTCCGTAAATGTTTAACGATCGAAATATTTCATTCGAGTATTCTCCAGATTTACAAAAACGTGTTCGTATGTGAAGTGAATCTACATGTTTAAGAGCGAATGGTAAAACGATCAAGCTCGACAAAAGGAGAAAGCACGCTATCGTACATCTAATGATCGTACATCTATACAGTATGAATAGTTACTATGTTCATGCTTTGCGACATGCTTTATCAACAGGCATACGAGCAGAAAAGCGACAATCAGTCCCTTCGAACGTCCGATGTTCGAGGTACTCAAGGTTCCAGGCATGCGACAGCGACGTGATTGCATTTCGTAAAAGAAAAAAAAACACCGTTGAAGTTGAGGTTTCTCTGTCGAAGAGCGACTCGACTCATCTGGTGGATCTACTTTAGGGAGAGGGGTCGCCTCCTTTCGGTTTCCAGTTGATCGTGTCGATCGTGAGTGAGTCGTGGCACTTTGATTTCGCAGACAAATATCGTAAAGTATTATTCGTACAGGAGACGATTGGTTCTATATTAAATCCTAATTTCAATCTTATCTCTCAGCTTTCATTTATTACGATACTTTGCTTAACCCCGATATAATTGGCTGCCTGAACCGTGTCACGTTTATCTTTTATTCCTCCTTGTTATTTCTTTCGTCTTTTTTTCTCTTTGTTTGCCCTAATTAAAGGATCTAAGGAACTTTGGATTATGCACTCGACACGGGCTTTTCTTTCCACTTTTCATTTCACGGCACAGAGTCGGATGGAATAGTTGTAATTAAATATTTCATTAACGGAGTTAAACGCGCGTTCGAAAGTTCCGTTAAGAACTCTTGTTAAACCCGAAAGAGGTCGCTTAAAATATGTTCGTTCTCCCATTATGAAATGTGAGTTTCAATCCAGGATTTTTTCCCTTCCATTTTGCTTTTCTCTGCCTCTATTTAAAATACGCGCAACTTAGAAACTAACACCGAGAACTAGTTTTCGTTTCATCGCTGGTACTGCACGGGCGCAGCCAATTACATCCGTGTTTCGTTTCCGAGACGCCGAGAAGTCGCGGATTTATCAAAAGACACCGCGAAACTGATCGACGAGACTTAACGAGGTCGTCGAGACTCGCCACTGCTTCGGATATCCTTTGGCCGTGCTCCAATTCGATTAATTATGAAACAGGTACGCCTCTCTCAACAACCAGCCATCCTTTCGGCCATTTTAATTGGACGTTTTGGAACGGTACCGACTCGTGAAATCCCCTATTCCTCCACGAATTGACAGTCGTCACGTTCCTAGCAGATCTCAACTTCCCAGACTATTATTTCCAAGAAAATCATACGAAAGGTTATGACCAGGATTACGAAGATATATCGATATTTATAAAACAAAGTAGCATGAACGTACGTAACTTTGATTCAATGTAGCCGGGATATCGACAGAATGGCAAACGATTATCTCGCGAAACTCTCACAAATATTGTTTCATCAACATTATCCGCTCGAATGGAGTTCGTTCAATAACAGAATCCACGCGTGTCAACTACGGAATACACAATTTAATTTCGTACAATGGTTATTATCGATCATGATGCAATTTCTAGACATTCTGATCATCGTATACGTTTATCAACTAATCAACGGTTTCTTATCATAAACGATTTTTAAAGAAGAATCGTCGACTTGAATGGACAATGGCCCAATCCTGGAAGAAGGTCGATCTTGATTCGACGGAAGAAATACACGAGATTAATCGCCGATGGATAAATTGCTCGATTGCCGTTCGTTTATTCGGACCGAATTTAATCTTGCTTATTTGCTTCGCATAATTGGAGCACGGCCTTTCCATCCCCTACAGTTTCCTGTCTTCTTCTATTTATCGAACGATGATCCGTAAACTGGTGATTATATCGACTTGCCTGAAGATGCACGCGATTCGAAACTGGCCGCGAGGATAATCGTTCGTTCCCGTTCGAGACAAAGATCTCTTACGAGATCAAGACGCAGGGTAATTGTAGAAACTAAAGGAGAACGATCGAGTGATATTTTCGCCGTCGAAAAAGGGGCCTCGGGAACTCGGTCACGCCGGCACCGTGACACAGCCGCAATTCCCTCGTTCTCGTTGCGGCACCGAGAATTTTTCAAGAATTACCTCGACCTCTTGGCGAGCACTGAATTGTCGTTTTTATTGCGGCTCGTACAGGGTGTTCCGGACGGGCTTTAAGAAGCTATAATTTCCCTCATTTCACCGGGGAGAAACTTTGAAACATGCCCCCCTCTCCCCGCAATTGCTACACGTGTGCTAAAAATCGATACAAGATTTCCTGCTTTATTTCATTGGGAGGAAAATTCTCTGTCGTAAAGTCGTCTCGTGAAATACTTTCCGTCTATAAATCCAATGTACGTTGCCGTAAGTATTAAGACACATGCCGTAAGTATTTGTTTAACAGAAATTCAATGCTTTCTACTGCCTTTATTTTCTAGTCGCTTTATTGTACATTTATATTATCATATCATAATTTAATTACTTTATTATATCCATATCTGTATTATGATTTAACTCTACCCTCCTCCTGACGCTTGTTTCGCTTTTGTATATCGCTGAATATCTCCTCTTCGTATTTTGAAATAGTTTATTCGCATTGGAAAGTAGTATATTTAAATATGTCGGGCAAATGTTTAATAAAAAAACCCAGCAAGATTAAAATACTAAATAAGGTAAAATTTATTCGAGTTTCCTAGTACCCAAATACTTACGGTCGATTAGTCTTTCTCTCTCGAAGTGCCGTTTAAACTGAAAGCATTGGAGACGTCTCGTCTATCGTTTTACCCACCGGGGAGAGATTCGAATCTCACGATCGTCCTTAATTCACATGTTCGCGGAAGCTTTCTATCCGGGAACGAACGATTAATCGGGCAAACCGATGCAAACCGTCGCGGTGTTCTATGGCTTATAAGCGGTCGGTTCCATTCGAACGAATTCGAACGAGAGACATCCGAGACGGAGTGTGGGAAAGATTCGAAAGAATGGCCGCGCATGGATCGAAATTCGAAGCCGATTTACGGGATCGTGTAATAACAATAACGGATAATCGAACCGTGGTTGCCCATCGGCCGTCCCGACGCCGGCAAATTGACAAATACGCCCGGCAAGGAGGCTATCGGAAAACCAGCGTTTGAATACTGCAAGCCATCCGTCCGGAACGACGATGACGAACGATGATGTCGGCCCTGTTTGCTCGACTTTTCACGCAATGACTCTAGCCTTTTTATTACTTTGATATTTTTTAAACAGCGCTTATCTTCGGTTAATCTTGAAATGGTAGAGTAGAATTTGCTTCATTTTACGATTGATTGAGAGTTTAATAAGAGGACGATAAATCTTAATGGTTTAGACGATTTTATATCGTGTTATATTCTACGCTGCTGGTCGTTATTATCAGTATTAGGGTACGTGCTGATACTTGAGATTAGGATTATCAAACCAGACGGAATTTTTGTCTTTGCAATTACCGAATACGAGCGTTTTTGACAGTATCAGCGTTTGCTTTTATCGATATAGAAACATGATTACGTGTATTTATTTACTCTGGTTATACTGAGTTAATTCTGATTAACTGTATCAACATAGCGATATCATTCACATCGTGAGTGTGTTATAATATGGAATACCAGATGAACTAAAATTTAGGATTTTCGAATAAATGCAGACTATTCAAATACGTACAGCCAGCAGTATATCATTAGAAATTTATCGTTTCAATTTCGTTCTACCAAATGAAGATGAAAAACTGAAGAAAGGAGCGATTATATCCGCAATCTAAGCTCTTCTTAAACATTCTTCGCTTTAAAGTTGTAAGGGGCCAGCGGCGAAGAGAATAATCTTTTCTCGCGAAAAACAAGCTGACAAAGAAACGAGTTTCCAATTAACAGCGACGTTCCGTTTTCGAAAATTCGTCAAACGAAACGGCTCGACGGTGATCCCGTGGAAACTTGATTAAACGTGGTCGCGCTCTCTCGCCTCTGAACCCCTGCTCGTTTAATAACGCGAAGCGATATATCGTAGCGGGATGTATCGTGTGGTGAATGAACAGTGGCGATGTGAGGGTTTGGATGAGAGTCGGGTGTATCGCGAGACGACGCTTCACATGAGTCGTCGGAACGGCGCTGTGAAACTAGCGAAGAACGCGAAACGATCGATAACTAGGACAGAAACGTCTCTCTAGAATATCCGGAGGATGGAGATCGAGATGTGTTTTGATAAACGATTAGAAAGGCAATCGATAAATGAGCTGAGAAGTCGATAAATGACGAGAGAACGTGGGATCCGGTTTGCTGGCGTTCCGTTGAGTCGCGTCGTTTGATCCAAGAGAAGAACATATATATATATATGTATATAATACGTGGATAGTTTAAGAAAAATGAAACGATGAAAGAGAGAGAAAGAGAGAGAATGGGGGTACGCGAAGAAAGCATCCTATATTCTATGTCGCTATATCACGGCAGGGGAGGTTTTTTGGGCGAGGCCCGAGAGCTTGTTAGTGGTGAGATCAATCCAAGACTCATGCGATCAGGTGCGATCAACTATGTTTGCCAGGAACGTTGCATTCCCGACGTGTTTCGTCAAATACTCTCGCTCTGTGACACGTGTCGCTGATTGCTAGAAAGACGCTCGACAAAAGGAGGTCCGAAGGACTTTGCACGCGATAGTAGCAACCAGTATTCAGTTAATGAACTCGATTTATATATATATATATATTATATATAAGACATATAAGATATATATATACATAAATATGTATTATGTATACTATATAGAAACTGGTGCGTCGGAAAGTAATGTCGTAACGAAAAGGACGCGAATCCAAGCACGAAAGCCTTCAAGCTCGAAGTTTGGGGGTGAATCGAGCAAAAGAGGTTTCTTCGTCATACGAAGTATCACGTTAATGTAGTATGAAATGACAAAGAAAGAAAGAAAGAAAGTAAGTGGAAAAAAACATATAGAGATTGAAAAAAAAAAGAAAATTGTTTATGTTTGAAGTAAGATGCATCAAGGCGCGAGTGGAGACGGGATCTTTCCCTCCCTGAAACTTCGGCTCGCCCGGCATTTGACTTACGTCGAATTAATTAACCCCTTCGTTACGCATTCGATTCTATGTGTGGTCGAGTTGACTTTCCATCTTGCGAACGAGATCAACGAACAAAGCGTCTAAGGCAAATTACATCTACGGTGCTATCGTACGCTACTAAATAACTATCCAAAAAAAAAAGAAAAAAGAAAAAGAAAAGAAGACGAAACGTAAAGAGAATCATATCTGCCATCGAACATTCGACGGGCTCTAAAACGCGTGGCCGTGAACGAAAGGGTTAAGTTGAAACGTTACTAAAACTACTACACTAGTGGTACATGAACCAATCAAATATTATCAGGCACTAAACAGACCACGGAGATAATCATCGTTCTATGTATCTCTCTTCGCTAAAGCTAATGTGAGAAGCAAGGAACGAGGAAGAATTAAAAAAACCGTATTCCACTTTGGACGACAGAGATCCGCGACGGTTTTCTATGCGCCATTCATACAAGTTCGGCGCGATTCACGCGGCAGGAAAAAAAAGTAGAGCTTGTAAAATTTGTAAGCGTGTCAATTGTTTCTTCTTTTACTTTTCTTTTTTCTTTTTTTTTTTCTCTCAACACGGTCGACACACGCGCGACAGAGACCCCTTTTACTCGATCATCCACCGGCTACTTTCGTTTTCCTAAGTGTATACTTCTAATCGAAAGCGACTGCCTGGCCATGTTTCGTACTCGAGAGAAACTCGAGAGTCAAGAGAAACCGATGGAACTCTAGCCTGTATATGTGTGTTGTTCGATCGACAAGCAAAAGTATATTGCCGAATGTGATCGATCGATGCGAAAGTCGAGTAACGGGCCCGTACCTTGGGCAGGTCGCCCCTGTTGCTGTCCTCACTGCTCGTGAACGTGCTAGAGGTGTCTATTCCGGAGTCTTTGGTCGCGCTGTCTTGGCTACCTTGCCGATCGGCCTCCCAAGACCAATCCTCCTGAGGGCCGCCGACATTGGTCCCACCGTGAAATCGCACTGTCTTTTTCCCCCTCCTCTCCGTGAACCTAATGGACACGCCACATACACAGGAGATACGAGAACGTGTGTGTCTGTGGTAACTGTGTGTTCGTCTGCGAGTGTTCTCTTTAACATGAATGTATATATACGGTGTTGTTTGTATAGTGTCCCGTTTACAGTTTCGCACTCTACCATGTGTCTAATGCTTTCGAACTCAGAGACAGAGCTCCTACGCTACGTAACGATCTTTGATCCCGAGTTTGCCAGAGACGGCGAATTCGCGTGACTCGAAATAATTATATTACTGAACAATCTAGGATCCATCGTTTGATCCAATAACACATGAGAATGAAAGAAACGACACGTTAGAAATTTTGCATCCAGGTATCGCCAGAGACTGGCAATCCCGGGACGACCGACGCGAACAGCGCGAAAGAAACGAGCCAAAAACAAAAACAGAATCGAAATTATAGGATACTCGAGAGATAGAAAATTTCTATGGAGAAACGAACGCACGATCGCCAATTTTACACACGCACCTCCTACTGTCGGAGCGCCACTCGTCGCCACTCCTTCGGAAGCTCCGTCTCACGAGAGTGCTCTCCTCTTTTCGCGGCTCTCGCGGTGGATGATGACCGTTATATTCGATGGTCATCGCGGCCATGTTGTGGTGCCCGTTGTGAGGTCCGTTGTGCCTACGTCCACCGCTGGACATTGATATCGGACCTCCCGTATGGTGGTAGTACCCCTTCCCTACAGTAGATCCAAAACGTTTTCGTTTCCTCTGCTCTCTTTCTCTGCTATCCGATTAACCGTCACATCTTTAACTCTATTCTCTACCATATCATTTATCCCCATTTATCTCTCGTTTACTTCGAAATCCCTTTGTTTCCTTAACTTCCAACCCCTTATTTAATCCTTGGTAAGTTTGCCAGACTCACGAAAATTCTACGTCCTAACACATCCTATTACAACACCGTCACGTCGTTCATAATCAGAGGCCTAGCGAAAGCTAACCGCATGTCCATATTTTCCACCTATACCTTCCCCTTCTCCACCTAATTTCCTTCCACTCCGGAAAGACGTGTGCATTTTAGTGTATCGCGTTCGTTAAGTATACCTGTCGAATCAAAACCAGCCAAAAGATAGGTGCAGGCTTACCCTTTCGGGGGAAAAGTGTGCGAGGAAAACGGTGCTCGGTCGGACCGGAAGTCATCCGGGAGCCGCACGGCCGCCAGAACGCCGCTGTACACGCTTCGGTGTGTGCAAAGGTGTGTGTTGTATGTGTGTGTACGTATGTGTGCGTGCATGATAGCGATGCCGTTTCTCGAAAAAGCGACCACAATGTTTCCTGCCTGGGGACTTACGTATATTTAGGTGAGACATCGAAAGACAGAATTCCGCACGCTTCAGGCGAATCGTAGACGATGTCTGATTGATTCCCTTGAGAAACAGTCGTTCGATGAACGTATGATTCGATCGTGAAAGGCTGAATCGTCGGAGGGAAACGCTAGCGTGCGAGAATTCACGGACACGGAGTGAAACGTTTCGGAATAATATAGGGGCACACGAGATAAAATCTTCGACGTAGTTGCACAGTATCGCATGTATGGGTAGAGAACGTGGGTCTTCGAGACGAACATCGAAGCAACAGAATGTGAGAATGTCGGGAGTATTCTTTGGTGGGCGATTTGTGTACGTGGCGTGAGTGAGGTGTAAACGATAAGATACTTGTATACCTGTGCACGATTCGTAGCCGTCCAAAGTAGAACAAATAAAATCTGTTACAGCTCTGCCGACCGATCGCACTTCCACGTCGAGACATTCGAGAATCCTCTTCTCGTTCACGCGAGTTTTAATCCGTCACGAACTATCGCAAAATTTCTCTGTTGATTCTTTTCGTTAAAGTCTGAAGTTGGAAAAAAGGAGGGCGAACGTTCCGTTTCGTTAGATTCGTGAAAAATCAATTTCGAGCAATCGCCGATGATTGAAAGAAACATGACGCCATGTGAGCGCACACGTGTCCCTTGGCAAATCGTTCGCTCGTTTTCGCGCGTCGTTAGGCTAGTCGAAAAAGCCCAATGACGAATTGAACTGTCAAAGAAATAGCTTGATGTTCTACTTAAAAAGAAACGCATCGGTCGAATCGTACAGATCTTCCGAAAATTCTGACGCGATACGTTCGCGACCGGTCGGCAGATGACGTACACACACATGCACACGCATACGCAAAGATATACATATAATATATATATATATATTATACATAAAATATATTATATATGTATATAGGTAAATATATATATATGTATGCGTTCGATTCATATATATAGCGGAAAACGAACTGCCTTATTTGCATTTGAGAAAATTAGTAGGTACCGCGAGGAACTGACGATTCATTCTGTCCCCGGGCTTCTCCCTCGAGCTCCTGGAAGTCACCACCATGGACGGCGGTTTATCCCCTAAAAGGCGATCTCTCTTTAAATCACACATGTTGCGTCAGATGCGTAACGGTGCTTCGCTTATCGCTAAACTTAAAAAAAAAAAGAACAGAACACGAATAAGAGCGGTCGCGATTATCTCTTCAAATTCGTGACGACGATTCTAGAAATCGTTTCTCTCATTTTGACTCTCCCCTCCCCCCCGCCCCGCTCTCGGAGAATTCAAGTGTGTGTAGATGCATGTTCAAACGAGAGAGTGGATAACAATAGTAATCTCCTCGAAGAGTATCAACTACGTTTTGGTGGTAACGCAGGGATGAATGGTAGTAAATCTCTGAACAATAATTCTGGGTGTCTATACTCTAGATATATAGATCGGTTTCGATGCAAACAGAGAGGGAAAAGAAAAGAAACAAAGATTGGTCACTGCTATGAGAACTGCTCTATATGTATAAACAATCGAACACTGTATAAACTAATGGTAATCGTAATACATTGCAGGCAGAGTCTGGTGTTCTCTCGCTACACGCAAGAAGTAAGTCGTCGTTTTCATTATGATACGGCCCGGCCTCGAGAATTCGATCTGGATCGTTTCTGAAAGGAAGATCCAGACGGAAGGAAGGGGGTCGACGAGGTCTCGTTCGTCGTGCAAGCTCGGTGCAAATAAGGTAAAGGATCACGCGTCATAAAATTGGCAAATTGGCCATACGATCGCCACGCGAGACGCGCCTGGCGTCGTCTCCTTATATAACCAAACGACGTATCTGTATCTGTATCGGTCCGCGTCCTCGATTTAAATGTGAAACGTACCGAACCTTGATTTTATGATGTAACAAGTTATAAAATGTGAATCTTCGTCTCTTTTTCACGAGTCGCGATTAGTTACCGAGCTGGCAAGTGTACTTGAACTAATTCGACGTCTCGTAGGAACGAAAACGCGCCCCATTTTGCAATACTACGACGGGGGTTGGGAACGTTCATGGTTGAAAGAGTAGCGATAATCGGTATTCCGCGCAAAAGACGTGCTTTGCATAATCAGCCCCGGCGGCCGCTACAAAGTATTACGCGCGAAAGAAACGTTTCGTACCGTGAAACGAACGAACCAGACAGAGTGTCAAAGGGTGTTTGAAGCACGTTCGAGATAGGCAAGATAGGCACGCTATGACTATCCATGAACGCGATACCTTCTGCCGTGCGATAGTATCGACGATAAATAGAAAACTCGCGACGCAGATGTAAATAGACACAGACAGTCGTTAGTCGAAGCTACGATGACGCGAAGTCTTAATTTAAAAGTTAGATGACGCCGAGTTCATCCCTCCGGATCCATCGGTCCCCGGGTATTCGCGTCCGTATCTGGTTCGCGTTCCACCCACATTGAAAAATCGCTAAACTTAGAACGCAGCACCGTGTGTACTTTATTCCGACGACGAACGAGACCGATGAGGGGGAGGTAGTGGTGAATTCCTCGACACAGAAAACTCAAGATCGACTGATCGGAGACCTCGACGATAATTGCAGCTCCGCAGCCACGAACGTCCTTTCATTTGGCAGCCGTTCGCGACGAAACGTCGCCACATCGCCGTCGCGATATCCGCGTCATATCCTGACCCATAACTCTACTGTATATTAAATATATTAAACGTCGTTTCTCCCCTTCTACGAGAGTTCTCTGTGTCGCCGGTGGATGCGTCGATAACGTCAGCATGGAACACGCGTAGGACGATGGGCGGATAGGGAGGGAAGGTTTTAATCTACGGGAGTTCTCTCCGGGAACGCAGGTTGCTCCTGAAAACGAATTAAAATCTGTTTAATAGAATTTTAGCCACGAACGGGGGAAAACGTGGATGGGTGTCGGGCCGGACGGAAACTGTCAAAGGAGAAAGGTAATCAAAGGCGGAGCAGGCTCGATGAGAGGCCAAAGCGTGGCCGTGACAATTTATCCTTCGCCTCTCCCTTCTCCTCGTCCGCCTGGGATCCGATGGACGTGCAGCAGCTCTCTGCGCCCCTCTGCAAATCCTTCGTTAAAGGGAAACTTGCGAGATGCGAGCGCGCGCGCGTAAACGGACTTACCTCTCGTAACTTCTACAAACTAATTTCACTAGTCACTAATTGTATTGTGTGCATCTACGAATGGGAGCAACAACGCCGTCCGACTGACGCCGGTCACTTTTCCTTTTCTCTCTCGGGTGCGTGCGCGCGCGCGTGACACCACCACACACGCGACACACGAAATCATCGCGAACGAGCCTACACGCTCGTCGCTAATTATCGAGCCAATCCCCTTAATCATCATCTATTCAAATTCAACTCGTCGCGATTCGCCTTCGATTTTTCTTACTATTACATCGCGACAGACCTGTCTTCTGGATCGTGTAATCGACGCATCGATGCTCTTTTTAGTTCTAATTGCACAACAAATATCCTTTGATCATCGTTGTCTTTCTACAACTCTCCGTTTAGCCATTTCTATCAAAGTTTAACCCTAAAATTCATTTTCCTATCGAGGGAAAAATAATTCAACGAATCAGGTCACCGCTTAAATCTTCACGGCGATCGTCAACGTTTGAACAAAAAGATAGCTAAATTCGAAACACTATACAGAAGTGACAACGACTTTAATAGGCACGATCTCTGCATAACAGCTAGCCCAGCCATCCGCATCAGCGCGTACGCACCAAGCGTATAGCTGTATTACTGTCGGCGCGTCTCACTTGTACATACAATTTCAGAATCTCTCGCGTCGTTCCGCAACGTTCAACTGCTTCAGACAGCCAGCGTTTCCATGAATACTGAGAGCGGATGGACAGCTCAGTAGTAACCAGTCTGATTATCCCGACGTTGTTCCCAACCATTTCGAACTCCACCAATGTGTTTTGTAAGCCTTTAATCTGGCTTCGTTAAGACTGAGCCAGGGATAGTCCGAGAAATTATTGTAACCGGTGTTAAACGGTGATTTTGTGAAAGCTTTTACGAATTACGAGTAGCTACGATCTTGTTTGTTTATACGGATACGCTTAAAAAAGACTGGGTCAATTATATCGTGGAAATATTTATAAACGAATTTTCAATTACGTGGCGGTGAATAGGAGGAAATCCCGGAAGAGGATTAGGAGTCACTAAGTTTCTTGGTTCTATCGGTAAACAAAGTAATTTCAATTCCGATAGTCATTTCCGGATGAGGATAATGCGGGGTCACGAACCCGCAGCCTGTAAAGGGAACTCGAATCCGAGTCCCGACCAGTCGACCATCAAATTGCAATGTCTTCGGATTAAATTTCGATGAAACTGCCAGAGGGGGTCGTCTGCGTCCCGACAGCGCAGTTCTTGGGTCCCTAAGGTCGATGCACAAAGAGTCGTTCGACGTGCTATCGTAAAAGCAGTACCGGTAACGTGAACCAGAGACTTGGCTATAGTTTAACTCATTTAAAAATTGAAAGGAAGAAGGAAGCTGAATAGCAAAGGGGGTGTTAAAAGTTGGAAAACGGTCTGTTGCTTTGTAATTATTTAACGCGTTCAGCGTTAGGCATAGCTTCAATTATGCCTATGCTGATATTCTTTTATTTAGTCATAAAGTGACATTAAAATCAACGAAAATATACTTATCATGTTTGCTGCGATCTTCATTCGGTTTGGTTCGAATTTACTCTCGATGTTTCGTATGCAAACGTATTATATATAATGAAAATCGGATTCGCGATTCACGACCTTTGCTTGACCTGAACATTTGCTTTCACGAAGAGTATCCCTTTGGTATTAATTCTAGCGCGTATTCCGCCAGAATTAATGTCCCTAATAAAACTCGTACAAGATTTAGAAGACGCTCTCCGCGTGATCTTCGAAACCCCGACCTCTTCATCATAATTTCATCAGATCTTCGTGACACAGAGTGTCGAGGAAGAAATGTCACGAGTCTACCGACAAGAGACGCGTTTAATATCAGATTTGCTGAATCTCCGACTACCTAACGCTGACGCTGACGATTTTTTTATGACTCCTCGGGACGAATTAAATATCAAAGTAACCTGGCTGCCAGAAGCGAATCCATTAAAAGGTTAACAAACTCTCAACAATCGTTGAAGAAACTCGGAAAAGAAACTGACGCAATTTCGTCGTGTGCAATGTACCTTACGTTTCTCGTTGCATTCACTGTCCTATTTTCAACTTCATTATCAACAACGATTGAAGACGGTACCTTCGTAAGCTTATAATAAATTCGTGGACCGCTTCCTCAATTTTTGAAGAGACTACAGCTCTATATTCATCGAGAATCCGGTTCCACCGCTGCTCAAATTCTCCGTCCCAGCCTCGGGTAAAATCGATCCCGAGTAGCTGGCGACGAGAAGCGTAAACACGGTCACCGTGGAGGATCTATTGAAGCCAAGCATCCAACTATGTGCACGACGTACGAGCATTGACGCGAGCGTGGATCGTGCATGCCCCTGTCGAAAATGCTCGTCCTGAAATGCGGGAACGATATCCCAAAGAGGTTCAGCGAGTGAATGGAACCCTCAAAGAGAAGCGTTGTTTTCGACTGCCCGGTACTTTCTGCTCCTCTTTGCTGCGAAGACTAGTTCTAAAAATAGCAAAGGGGCAGATGTTTGAATTCGCCCACGTGTTGTCCGCGTGACGTCACGCCGACCGTGTGGGCGTAGCGAGCGATGGGAGAGGGTGGCGGTGAGCTGAGTAGGGGATGGAGATGAGGGGGAAAATGCGGAAAAAAGGAACGAGGGATGCGCGAATCGGAAGAGAGGGTGAAAAGAATGGTCGAAATGTACTGGCTACGGAAAAGATACTGTGGAGAAGGTGATGGAAAAGATGGAAAATTTCAAACGGGGTAATATCAAGTACTTCGTGTTCAGAGAACGTAGAGTCGATGGACCAGAGAAAGTGGTTCCAATTTTGAAGTTAAATTTTTTTCACCCAATGACGTTGAAAACAGGTTCTCATCGTTGATAAAATTCCTAAGTTGAAAGAAACATTACTTAACGACGATTCTCAATATTTATTCGAATAGAATACTATATATCGTTAGTTGATGAGAAAGCAAGGAAAAATTGTCATTGTACCAAAATCAATGTAACTGTCGTAAAAGAAACATTAGGGAAATAGTAGTATGGACTAGAGAAACAGAGACAGAACGGAAAGAACGATCTCTAAGAAAGTATAAAAATAAAAGAACGAAGTAAAGTGTAAAAGGCTGTAAAAGTGGAGTGTATATAAGGTGATACGAAAAAGGTGGAAAGATATAACGGAAAGAGAGGGGAAAACTAGGCGGGGTGTAAGATAGCCAAGAATCAATGCAACGACGAGGGCAGAACCCGAGAATTCCCGCAGGATACCGATCAGGAGTCCACACGTATCCTTGGTCAACTCGATACTCGGGTAGAGGATTGGAAAAATTGGAAGAAAATTCACCAGCAAGGATTTCTTCGCCTGATACTCTCACGAATGAAAAAAACGAGCTTAACCCTCACATTTCCATGGAAGCTCTTCCCACGAGGAATACAGAAGTTAGAGTTTCGTAGCGATCGAAAACTACTTTAAACCCAACGATATATCAAGACTGTCCTTTGAATTTCCAAAAGAATCAGAAAATTCATTTCCATCGTCTCGTCACGCTGTGAAGAATAAATATCAACCCGCGTAACGTTGAAGAACAGCGTGAAGAGAAAGAAAAAAAGAAGAGAAAAAAAAAGAGAAAAAAGAAAGGGGCAGGCGGACAGGTAGCTAGTGTGTGTTAGTAGCCCACGCGAAGCTTTTTTCTCCATCCAATGATGCGCACCTCGATGAATCGGTTCACAGTTCACCGATCCCCGTCACTAATCAACTGTGAGCCACGTATACGCGTATTCTCTTTCCCTCTGGCTGGCGCTTGTCCGCTCTTCGAAACCAGCTCGAATGCGTCGCATAAAAGCGAGCGCCGGTGTCGAGTGTTCTCTCGTGAACACGGAGGAACGCGTGCACTAGAACAGGCCGAACCGGGGGATCTGCACAGCATCGGTAACCTAAATTTACTCATTAGCCAAGGAGGAACCCGGTTACGCTTTCCCCCGCGCGCCTACTGCCTTCACGATAATGCGGTATCGCTTTTCATCTGCCACTCCATTCGAGCCGATCTGCCTGCCACCGAGTAGACCTACTTTCCCATTTCAAATATTTCATTTGCCTCGATATTCTTTTCCCAGTGCTTTCCACTATCCAGTGGACCAACGAAGAACCTCCGCTGTACGCATCATTTTCACCATTAATTCTGTTTTTTATATTTAAAGGATAGAATTACCTTAAGGATTGCGGTAAATTCTACTGTTTGAGTTGAGAACCAACGCAGAATCTCTGCTCTACGCATCATTCCCTTTATCGATCGTTTTCTTCTTTCCTTTGCTTTTTCTTTTATTGGTCTTTAAGAAATAGAATCATCTTCGAGGATTTGATAGATCCTGAAAATCGATTGATATCTGTGGTATACGCGATGGAACAGATTGATTGCGACCTCGTACTGGTCCGGAACGAGCCGCTTCTTTCTTAGCTGGCTAGCTGTGGAGCGTTAATCGCTTTGTAAACACGCGTACGTACGTAGAGAGCTTTTTAGACTGCATGAGCATCGGATCGGTCGATTACACTTTCCTTCGACGGCTCGCCTGTAAATATCGCGATACAGGTGCACACATTCTCCGTAAACCAATTATCCACTGACACGGAAAACCTGTGCTCTCCTCGTGCACCGAGTTTCAAGGGCAAAGCTGACCCTACCGATCAGCTCTCGCCCTCTCTAATGTCACTCTCCGTCGAAACCGATTCTCCACACCAGCCTCTGACGGTAATTCGGTGGTGGATTTGACGTTTAACCGCGTCGCTGTTGAATTATACGACTGGCACCGCGGGGACGTGACATCCCGAAAGAGTAACGGCCAATATCGTTGTCAATGAACTTTGCACGTGTCCGAGCGAACTGGCTGATCGAACGTACTTCCACCAGTCAGATTTAGCCGCCACGCCATCAACGATATATACTTCTCGAATCATTAAAGCTTCGTCTGTTTCCGTTTTGGGCTATTACTCGACTATTATTTATAGAAGAAAAACACGATCATTGAGTTTATTGGAAATTGGTTAGGAAAATGTCACCTCCTTCGCGCGTCGTCGTGCTCAATCTTTGTTCAAAGCGTTTCCCTGAGTCGCGACGCGAGTGATATTACGAATCGTTGATTTTCAAGAGACTCCACCGGAAGAAAATTAATTAAACTCGAACTCTGAAATCGTTTATAAATTTACTCGGCTAAAGATCATAGTTGTATTAAGAGGAAAATAACGGTGGAAGAAAATTGTTGTCGCGATAATTGCATACCGGCCACGAGATTAAAGCACGGATCTCGTTCTCGAAGTCGATTAAAGAAAAAACTCGACGTAAAAAAGAAACAACAACAGAAGCAAGAATCGAGCATAGACTCACCCTTCTCGGACTCGTCAGGCTCGTCGCTAGCACACTCGGGTGTGCTTCGCTCTTCCTCGCTGCTGCTGAAGCTTCTCTGAGGCTGAAGACCAACCTGACCACCCATCGGTTGCGGTGGGTGCGCGCTTTGCGTTTGATGCACCGAGTGTTGCTGAGTAGGATGCACAGCGCTTCGTGGTGGGCCCGCTTCTACCGTTGGTTGACCGTATGTCATCGCGAGATCCGTGTTCTGATCCTAAAAAGGTAACGAACGGATCCTCTCAGAGGCAAGAAAAATCGGAAACCATCGAACACCAAGTTGTCACAAGACGACGTCAATTTTCATATTATAACACGATATAATATTCAAGTGAGACAGCGCAGAAGCAGGAGATGGCGATGAGATGAAATGAGATGAAAAAAGGAAGGTGAAAGTGAAAGAAAATAATGCTCCGTCCTGAACGGGATAGATACGCGTTTCTCAATCAGCTGGTAACAGTAGCGAAGCACGAGGAAGTAGTATAGACCAGGATAAAGCAGACATCGAAATTTTTCGGTTCCCCTTCGATAACTTCGTTCCACTGGATCTGTTCGTGCGGCTGGGCTCGTCGAGAACATCCCCTCGAGCACCGCCCACGTAAGAATATCGCTAGCGGTCTGCTCCTACGCGCTCGCAGCTTGTACAGGGTTGTGCATAACTTGTTGAATGTTTAATTTCTCCAAGTTGCTCTCTCTTTCCCTCTTTCGAGCATCTAACGTCATCGTCACGTTCGATCCAGGCTGAACCAATCGCGAGAACGCGGTCCCACTCACTCACCGGGTAGATCGGTCGTTGTCTCTGGTAGTTCTGTTGTTTCATAAGACCGTCGATCTCGCCTCTGTACAGATTCGGGTCATCCTCCGCGTACGCGTCCGGATGCCTTGGCGGTTGTTGCATCTGATGCGGCGAAGCTACGTGGGGCGTCGGCAGACTTCTCGAGTGAGGCGAAACGGACATATCCACTCCGCTATCGCTCGTTGGCAGTCGACGCCCTGGGCCCTGTAATCCCCAGCAGAAAACCGCCATTTTTTCGTGCCGCAATCGGCCCGGTTTCGATTCGTCACGTGTGGGTTGCAGTGGTGGATGCAAACAGTGCGATTTGTTGCGTTCTTGTTTGATCAAATCAGCATGTGGTGAACAATATGCAGTTTCACTGTGTCTTTGGACAATCTATCGTATGTATTGTCATATGTATCATATGTTAGCAACTACTCGCTTTAGACATTGTCGAAGACGGTTAATCTGGCGCTATTCAATTTCGGAAGAATTTGCGACGATTTAGACTGCGTATGGTTAGTGAAAGATGTACGATAAAATGTGTCGATATCCAACGACAGCTAGTCATTCGAAACATAATTGCGTTGTCTCAAAAAAGAGAAACATTACTCGTAAATGAACTAGCCACAGAGTAGAAAAGGCAATAGTGGTGTGTTCTGATAACAAAAGTTACGAATTGTTGTGAATTATCTACAAAATTTCCAACAAATATATATCGAATTTTATTTGTCGATTTTTATCAACGTTAAGATGAATTGAATAAGAAGATGGAACATGTCGAGCGTCGTATGTCGGTATTTCATCTAACAACGTTAAAATAAATTGTTCAAAGACGCAGCAGCAATGATTAGTGACAATGAGCACAGTGACACACGGTGAGATATACCAATTGCATTGCCTTGCTTCGACCGAATTCGCTTAGCCAAGTGTTTTGCAATTGTTGTTGTAGGTTGTTTAGTAGCTTTTTAATTATTTGTTGTTGTTGTTGTACATCCAGAGCAACAGTGCGTGCACGAGCGCTATTTAATGGCCACGGGGAAGCTGATCCCCGCGGTCGAACACTAAATGAATGAAGTAAATCGTACTTGCTCTTGCTGAGAGTACTGTCTTCTGAGCAAACTTCCGCTCCTTAGTAACAATGGTAAATTCTCCTTTTCAGCCGCGCTGTGCGCTCTCTCGAGTTTCGGTCTTTTATCCTGAGTTTGGTCCACGAGTCCCGGAGGACCACCCACCTGCATGTCCTGCATCCGTCGCAGCATCGCGTTGTCCCCGGCTGCTAGGCCCGCCTTCGTTATCCATTGTCCGGTCTTCGACAGCAATTCTTGCTTCTTGCGACAGAGAATGCACACCCATATTACCTGCAATCAAACCGCATTACACAATCTCTGCATCGAGATCAAGCGAGTTAATAATTCGACATCTAGAAGTTTGCACGGGCAAGCGTCAGGTAATTTACAAAACCGTTATCTTCTTATGAAAGTTTTCGAATCGTAGATGTTGGAATTGCCGAGGTTTGGCTGGAGATAATTTTCGTACTATCGTTCTTCTCCTCCTCTTCGCTGTTAAAGTATCATCGGGACGCTAAATGTTTAAAAGCATCGGAGTTTTAAAAGTTCCAGAGTCTTCTAAAATCCTAACGTTTCTTTTTCGATCCCATCGAGCGTTCGATCGCGGTGTGTAACTAAAATAATCCACGGCGGCGCGAAAGGGAGATAGCTCTAGCAAGAGCGAGGAGAGGGAAAGAGTCCTGAAACTGATCGATCCAGGTCACCGCTTGTAGCGAGGATATTAATAGGAAATTATCTATAGGAAGTCGACCAGTTACGATGCTAATTGAAACGTGTAAGCGGGTGGTGCGAGCTTTCAATTTACAACCCTTGAAAAACGCGCGCTCGTCCATCGCTCGAACAACGAAATAGATTCGCGGTGACACCCTTTCGCGCTCGCGGAGTATTTGTCGAGAGACGCTGTCAAAAGATGGCGAGAATAGCGTTAAAAATACACGATGCCCAGAGGGGGCAAGTGGAGAGGGCCCAGTTGCAGCGAGAAGCTCGACTACAGGCGATATATTCGCTGGCAGTTTTCGCGGCAAACTGGAAAACTCGACGATCTTCGCGCAGCCGGAGGAGAAATTATTGTAAAATCCCCTTTAACGAAGTCTCCGACTTCATCGCCTCGGGCGAAATTCTTATGCAAATCCAACGAAGCTTCGAGTAACGTTAAATTAAATCAAGCGGATCCGACGCCGATGGAGGACAGCGTATAGCGACTTTCTGCAAATATCCAGGTTTCTAGAGAATCTCTAGATTCTAAAGGAACCTGGGCTCGGCACGATTATCGAAACGTCTTGGGCCAACGTTGAAAAAACGTTCCACGATTCAATAACGACGAAAACACGTAGCAGGAAACAATGTACACCGTTCTTCGTACTCTTCTTCCTTTACGAAGTAATTGGAGCGACGAATCTTTAGAAACGCGCAACGCGAAAGTACGCGTGAAGGAATCGGCGGAAGGAAAAGGGAAATCGAGCGGCTCTTCGTAGACGAAAAGCACATTCTTCGCCTGGCGACCATTCACTGCCTTGTACAATGAACGAAAGGCTAATAATTAGCGGGCTAGCGCGACGTTGGCGGCGGTAGCGAAGCGTTTTGAAGGATGAATAGGCGGGCAGAATACTCCATCAAGATAAAGCGTGATGGATGGACCATTTAGAAGCAAACCGTAAAACAATGCCCATGCCGGTTCCCATCGATAACACTTTCCATGCCCATTCACGCGTATTATTGTACCAACTATAATGGCGTGAACAACGTGCCGCAAGGACACGGGGCTGCTCCCTTGAATTACGACCGCTTCGATGCCGTAAAGTCCGCGGGATTAAAATACGCACTCGAGCTTTTGATCGATCGAATAATTTAACATCTACGATCCTCGAGTGACATTCGGTACAATTGACAGACTAAAAATCGTAGTGTAAGTCGGTGTAAGTCAAAGTTCTTAGAATTTGCATTTAATCGCGTATCTTAACCCTTGGCCCTCGCGATTAATTCTATTATAATTTTATTCTTTTCTACAATACTAATTTCGTGATTTGAAAAAATATAACGAACTTTTTACAACAATAAATACGGAATACTGTTTTGTGGAAAATAACGGTCAGCTAACTTTATATATTCATGGAGTATTTCTACTCGTTCTTCGACCAAGCACTTGCACATCGTTAATTATTATCATACCACTCGCTCGATAAATAGAACTTGATGAAAATGAGTTCGATTAAGATAAAGAGAAGGGATAGCAGGAATTATGCTGGATGTAATTCTCGTACAATCTTCTTGTTCAATCCGTAATCAGCCTTGAAAGTTTGTACGTATTATCATTAGCATTATTGCGTGTATGTATCATCGAGTATTATTATACTTGATCGAAATAGAATTTGACGAAAATGAGTTCGATTAATAATTCCTTTCGGTATTCTTTTTTCGCTAGGAAAAGTGGAATTAGACAGAGAACGGTCCAGAGACGCCAGTTCTGACGTGAATATCGCGATATACGGTCGGTCACGCACAGCGTTTGCATAATTATTGTTGTCCATTATCGTTGTTCGATGAATCCAATGCAGATTCGCGAGCGCATATTCCGCTAATCCGCGAGGCGAGGACGCTGCTGCAAATGAAAACGTGTTTGGCCGTGTTAGGCGACGCGAGTCAGCTACGATTGCACCTCGTACGGAAACGGTCTAGCTGTTTTTCTCGTCAAGAGGCAATCAAGCCATTGAGAGCTTTGGCACGAAATCTTGAACAATGTTTTTTAAAAAAGAATCCCTCGATCGTATTTCTTCTTCGTATTCTTTCTCAATTTCTACGAGCGTTTAACATTTAATAGTACGGTTAACGATAAAACATTCCTGAATTAATTTCTAAAAATATCGACACGTCGATAAAAAGCAACTTCTTGAAACGACGTAGTAACTGTCACCCGATTGCATCACTGAAACTCCAATCACCGTTTGATCTATTTCTATTCCACAATTTATATCAACGTTCTCTGTTATTATCGTGTTGAATCAATTGCGTAACGAGATAGTGAGCGCATATTCGGCTCCCGTATTGTATAAACAGATAGGCCGAGAACAGAAAGGGTGGCGATTTTCGCGAGGTCGAATCGTGAGTTTTGCACGGGATAACATAATTGCATCGCAGTCGGCGTCGCATTACGTAAAAACGGTTAATGACGGCCTTAACAGGCCGAGAGCCTGTTACGTAAATAATACTTTAATGTGTCCTTTATCCGACTGCAGGGGTTGACGTTCGAAAATTCTTCCCCGGCGCGCATACGAAACAGGATAGAATAAATTCTGCGATCTTGCGGAAAAACGGATGCGTCTCTCTTAAAAAAAAAAAAAAAAGAGGAAGAAAAGAAAGAAAAAAAGGAAAGAGAAGAAGAAAAAAGGTTGAAGCGTCGTTCAGGTTTGACGAAGTAGAAAAAACGAAGAAGTCTTTACGAATGGATGACACGATGAAGTGGAGGATTCGGTGCGCGGAACACAATTTACCCGATCTCTTTAGCAACGGACGATATTTCGTCCCTCCGTCAGACCAGGCGTCCCAGTTTTTAAAAGCGAGCCGGTAAACGTGAATTTATTTTTACCTTCTTGCTGGCGCTGCTTAATAAGTGAACAGTTTCCGATGAAAGGAGCGTTCCCTTTGTCGAAAACGCTTTCCAGAGCTGCCGAGCGGTGAACGTAATTATTTCATCGTTGCAACGTGATTTTCGGTGCACAGAGTAACATAGGGTGCAGTATAAAATGGGTTAAAAATATCCGTCACTTACACACCGAGTGGGACGGGTCCGCGCGATTCGAGAAGCTGCATCGTTCGATCGCGAGATTACAGACGACGGAAATCAGGGACGTCGACGCATCGAGTCGCGACGACGTCCTTTAACATAAGAGAACGTAACTGAGAAACGAACCCCTGGAGTACGGGTTTCCAGGAAAATGTACGATTCCACATGGTTTTCGAGCGTGTCCGTGTACGAGTCGTCGGTCGACCCGTTCGTCCAGATAGAGGCGTGCGTGCATCCGCGAAAGGGAAGCAGCTTTTTTTTTGTTCTCGAGATGCTTGCAACGCCGACCGAACCTCGCTGCAGACTGGCGGCCCGGCCGTAGAACAGAGAGTGCACCGAACAAGAAAGGAAAGAGAAAGGGTGCACGAGCGAAAAAAAGCAAGCAAGAGAGAAAGATGGTGTCGAGGGACTGTGCAGGAACGGAGAGGAGAGCGAGAAACGAAGAAACAAAGATAGGCGGCGGCAGGGGGAAGGGGTAGGTGAAGAGCACTTCGTCGAGTTGCCTAGGTAGCAATATGTCAAGAGCTCAACCCCTTTCCACCACTCTCTCGCTCATCCCTGTGCTAGCGGCGTCCTTTTCGCCCAACCACCGAACATTCCGTACGTACGTACGTACGTACGTACGTGTGCGCTATTTTCCGCAGCCTAAAAAGAGAAAAACGTTGTTGTTGGTAGTGGTAAAGAGAAAGAGAAGGACCGAGAGAGAGAGAATCGACGTAGGGGAATGAGATGGCCCTCGAGGCGTCTCACCCCTCTGCCCGTCGTTACACCCGCCTAAGTTGGGTGGTGTTCGGTGGTGGTGGACCAAAGGAACGAGAACACGACGTTGCGTGTTTGGCCGTAACGTAAATGATCATTAGTTTGCCGGCTCGAGGCGAGTTGTCGGTGATTTGCATTAATTAATTAGAGGCCAATTAATTCAGATTACTTTATCACGGGCCCTGTGTACGCAGGCAGTATGTCAACCGCGCTCAGGCGACGCCGGCCGAGACAAGACAATGACGACGACGACGATACAGAGAGACATCGACGTGGACGTTGACGTCCCGTTGCCTCGAGTACAGCAGCCGGCGATCGATACGCTCGTTCAAGCCAGTCCGATAACTCGCCACGCCGACAATAACGCTCGGTGCCCGCGTCCGTAACGCTCGCGACGAATTATCCTTTCAATTCGTCGATTGGACGTTCGAGTCGATCACGGGACTTACGCTTTCATTCCTGTCTCCGAACGATTGTCTAGATTTGTATGGACATTCGTCTGTCGATCGTTACCAAAACTCTTCCTTCGTCCAGATGTTTAAGGGAATAACGGGCGACAAGAAGGGATGAAAGAACGTTTGAGATTGCACTTGTACTGGTGGAGGAAGGGAAGAGGTCGCTTCATGGTGTCGATGGAAACCCTCGGTAAGTTTCCCCGAGGCAAACGACGATCGCGGCGCCAAGTAGCTGTCGAGCTCTTTCATTTCTAACGAGATGTACGCGAATCGTCGAGCGTAAGAGGACTTTTGCA